GGGGCTGTTCCGCATGCATCGTGCTCAGAGCCACAGAGTGACCCTGTGCCCTGAGAATCTCTGACGGCTCAGTTGGTCAGAGCATCGTCATGTACACCTAAAGCTTGCAGGTTCGATTCCTGGCCAAGCACACACCTCGGTTGCAGGTTTGATCCTCAATTGGGGCGCACATCGATGCTTCTCTCTCTTTCAAAAAATCAACAAACATATTCTCAGGTGAGAATAAATAAATAATGCTTTATTGCTAAAAATGTCCACATCATCTGTGTGTGCTGGGAAATGGTGCCAGTGGGCTTGCTCAATCGAGTGTTGCCACAAACCTTCAGTTGTAAGAATCGCGGTGTCTGGAGCACAGCCGAAGGAGGCATGCCTGTGACTGAGACTCGCCTCGTTTCTAGGTACCAGGACACGTAAACTGGCAAGTGCCTCTGCATTTCCTCCTTCCAGCAAGCGCCCCTCTACTCAGCCCAGTGGCATGGGGATCGCCACCCAGCAGTCTGCTGTTACTAATGTGGGTCAGTATGTGGCAAGTTTTCTAGAAGGGCTGGTTTACTGTGAGGAATACCCTTGGGCAAGTGAATTAATCTTCTCCTTTGCGAGAGGAGGGTGAAACGGTCCGGGGAGGTTGCTGTGAGCTTTGGAGAGCATGTGCATAATTCCTGCACACAGTGCCTCGGGCACAACAGCCACAGCACTTAGCTGGCATGTGTCAGAAGTACAGCTTTGCGTGTCTCCACTGTGCACAGTCTCACCTGTGCGTGTCCTTGGAGTTCCCCACCTGAGTGAGTCACCAGGGCGGCCACCCTCTGCACTCCTCACTTGTCCCCTGCCATTTGTTTTTAAATATGTTTTTACTTGTTTTTTAGAGAGAGGGGAAGGGAGAGATAGAAACATTGACGTGAGAGCAAAACATCATCAGCTGCCTCCTGCACACCCTCTACTGGGGATCGAGCTCTCAACCCAGGAGTGCGGCCTGACCAGAAATCAAACCAGGACCTCTCAGTCCATGGGCCGACGCTCAGTCCCCTGAGCTACGCCAGCTGGGCTCCCCTGTCATTTGTTACCCACCATCCAGGGGTGACCTGCTATGCTGGGGGACACTGCTTGGGGAGGGTCCCATCCTAACCTCCAGCCCTATCCGGTAGCTTCCCCTCCCTCACTCCAGCCTCCAAGCCCTCCCAGGAGAGGCCTGAAGTGTCTCCCAACAGGACTTGACAGTGTTCTGTGTGTGGATGGGGGTTGGTAGACGATTTGTAACCTTGTGATATGCATTCTCACAACCTGGCCAGCCTAGGACCAAAGTGTGTGTGTGGACAGGTTTGACTGATAGACAGGAAGACCACTTTGCTTGCATTGAATGCTTTTTTTGCATGTGAGTAAGATAAGGTTTGCATGATCATGGCTGGAACACCACCTCGAGTGGACAAAAAATGGATTGTAGGACTCGAGAATGTCTGGGGCCCTGGCTGGTTTGGCTCAGCGGTTAGAGCGTCAGCCTGCGGTACAGAGAGACCCGGGTTCGGTTCCCACTAAGGGCGCGTACCTTGGTTGCAGTTTGTCCCCGGCCCTGGTTGGTCGTGCGGGTGGCAGCCACTCGATGTGTCCCTTTCACATCGATGTTTCTTTCTCTCTCTTCCTCTCTCTCCCTCCCACTCTGTCTGAACAACAACAACAAAAAGAATGTCTGGGTTTGATATATTTTTTTTAGTTTTCAAGTCTCTTTCCGCCATAAAAAGCGAGAGACAAGGCTAGGCTGTGGTTTGCAGAGACGCCATCTCAAGGAAATAATTTACATAAATCCACTTGTAACCTGGGAGAACAAATCTGCAAATAAATGGGACTGCGTCCAAAGATCTGTAGCATTTGCTCTCTTGAAAAGCTCCCTCTCACTCCAACCAGCATGTGCTTGTAGCTCATTGTGCACCCATCCCTAGAGACAGCAGTTCTGTGTCCAGTTAGTCGCGTCATGGCTGAAATGTCACTTTGGGGAAAGCCTTCACTGAGCAGTTGGTCTCAGGTGGTCCCCACACTGTCACCTTGTTCTGATTTTGTAAATAACCCTCATCACTGCTACTTGTGTTTATCTCTGTCTCTCCCTCCTCACTGTAAGCAGGGCTTTGTCTGCTTCCCACTGCCTGTGTAGCATCCATAATGGTGTCTGGCATGAGATGGACACTGGTCATCTCCTTCCCAACACGGTGTAGCCACCTCTGTTACCATTGTCATTAACATTGAAGAATGTGTGTGTGAACTAAGATACATCCATATGCTATTTACAGACAGGGTTAGCATAGATTTGGGGGATTTGACAACACCTCTACTAAGATAGGAACCTTAACATCAAGTGTTGGTTATATTTCCTCCCATATTGGAAGGAACTGATTGACTTACAAGAGCCCACAGGAAACCACCAGTGGATATGAAAGTAGCCCCATCCCTCTCAGATCTTTAGCACCTGAGCAGTTCTACTCAATATGCCACACCTGCCTGATCAACTTAATTCAGAACCGGGTACGTTTCTGCCCAAAACAAGATGAATGAAATCATCATCTTCCTCTGAGGGGACCTGGATGCCTGGCCACTGACACCCTGCAGGTCACACTGTCAGAAAACAGATCAGAAGAGGGACTCGTTCCTGCTCACCCTTCTGGGCTCCGGCTCGACAGCCCCGGGGCCTTGGAGCCCAGACTTATTTCCCAGGGCTGGAGTTACCTCAGCTGCTCAAGGCCTGTGTAGCAGTAGCCCTGCCTCTTTCCTGAGCAGCCCCACAGACCAGGGCTTAAACGCCTCATCACCGGAAATGGGCCTGTGGTTATAAATTCTCAGCCTCTGTGCAGCACGGTGCTTCCTGGGGTCAGTAAACTGTTGGGCCTCTGGTCAGGAACCCCCAGACCCGAGTCAGGGCATCCAGAGGCTCCCGAGGGAGGAGGAGGTGGGGCGCGGACGCCGGCGTCTGGGCCCCCAGGTCAGTGCTGGAAACGGTGCCCGGGGACCGCTTGTGCGGAAGCAGCCTCACGCGGGCTCCAGGGCCTGCGGCCTCGCCTGCGGCAGGTGGAGCGCTTGCTGTCCTCCGCCCGCCGGACACACGAAGGACGTGGACATCTTCAGGGGTTCACATTCCGGTAGGAACGTGGAACATCATTCGCGATGGGCCGCTGTGGTCCCGCAGGGCTCCTGGCCCAGCCCAGACCTCACCGCCGCCTGGTTCTAGCCGCCGCCGAGGTCTCCCAGGACCCAGGCCGGACACGCCCGAAGCCACCCCCATGAGCCGCCCCCGCCCGTCCCCATGCCCTCTCAGTTGCCAGGGCTCCCGGGCACAGGAGCTGCCCTGCCGCTGCCCTCCCCTGACCCCCCTGACCCAGGACACACATCCTCTGCCCCCGACTTCTCTAAGGCCCACCCTCTTTCCGCCACATTTTCTTCTCCCCGTCTCCTCGGGGGTCCTCCAGACCTGCCTGGCCCTTCCGCCCTCAGGGCCCCTCGGCACCGTCCACGCGCCCCCACTCCCACGCCGAGGTCTCTGGCGGTGTCCTGTTGCTCTGCCGGCACAGGGCCCTCAGCGCGCCTGCAGGGCCGGTGCAGAGTCTGTGCGCCCGCCGCCTGCCGCCGGGAGCTGGGCCTTCCCAGTTCTCGGCACTCCGGCCACTAGCCTGCCTCTCTGGTTCTGGTTTCTACGGTATCGCACGGTAAAAGTGGCCTTTTTATCTTCTGCTCTACAACTCTATGAATCCTACCACATCTATTAACCTTTTAATACCTAGCTTCCCGCCTGAGGCCTTTGCAGATCCTTCTCTGGTCTCCTTTACGTCTCCCTGGGAGCTGAGCTCAGACGCCCTTTCCCTGGGAAGCCTCTCCTCCCGGGCTGGCCACCCTGGTGCTGCAGGCTCATGGCAGGTGCTCTCCCTGCACAGCACTCAGGGGCGATGAGCGACCGCTAGTGTGGCCTTCAGTGACGGTGAGCTCGGCGCCTCGGGGACACACGCAGCTCCCTGCGCACATTGAATCCTCAGTGCCGAGCCCAGGGCTGGCCACTCCTTGGTGCTCGGGAAACGTGACGGAGTACCGCCTCTCCAGCTAGTAAGGGCAGGAGCGCCTGCCCTGGGACGTGTGGGAGGTGGCTCAGTGTCCTCCGGAGCCCAGCTTCCACCTGAGACCGGAGACAGGCTCCCTGTGAACTTGTCTACCTCTGAAAGACTGATCATCATCCGATCCGTTGGTTTAATGAGTATGAACTGACCCTCAGCCCTACAGGCAGGACTGATGAGGTGAACTAGTCACATGTAGTGCTTACTCACTGGTGCTCAGGGTGCTAACATGTCCTTGTTGAAGACTGCAAAGCCACACACAAGTCATCATTCTGCTCCGGGATCTGGTTCCTTCACGCCAGTCCGTTCATTCAACGGACACTTTCTGGCACCTCCGGCCTGCACATCAGCAGGCTCTGGGGAACGGGAGGGCAGTGTGCCGAGCACCCGCCCTGGACGGCCCAGCCGTCAGGGTGAAATAGTACGTCAGTTCACAGACAAAAGCCAGGGCGGCCCATGTGGGCCTGGTTATGGTCCTTTCTGTCAGTGCTGAGCCTGGAGCCACCAACTGCCCTGAAGAGGGGCCCTGTCCAGAGGGCCAAGTGGACGTGCACCCGCTGCCGGTGCACCCCCCCCCCCCGAGGGCTCAGCACGGGCCCATTGGGCTCCCTGAACACGTTTGCAAGTGCATGGGGCTTCTCTTGTCCCTGTGTTGGGACACGGGGTACTGGGTGGGCAGGAGCCACGGGTACGCAAAGTCATGCAGTAGGACAGCCCACCCCAGATGCAGGGGCTGCCCTGCTGCGGTGAGAAGGGGGCGCGGTTTGGAGAGCTTTCGGCTCCCCACCTGCCAGGCTGACTTGGGCAGGCGGAGATGAGAACAGAGCTGGCAGAGATGCCTTAGGAACAACACTGACTTTGTCACAACCCCTGACGACAACGTCTGCTTACCTCTTGTCTCCTAACCCTGCACAGGAGCCTTTCTTCTGGGAGGAATCCTCTACTCCTGGCAGTTCCCTCACTTCAACGCGCTGAGCTGGGGCCTCCGAGAGGACTACTCCCGGGGGGGCTACTGCATGATGTCCGTCACTCACCCCGCCCTGTGCCGGCGCGTCGCCCTGCGCCACTGCCTGGCCCTGATCGCACTGTCCACGGCAGCCCCCGTCCTGGACGTCACCACGTGGACTTTCCCCGTCATCTCCCTCCCCATCAACCTGTACATTTCCTACCTCGGCCTCCGCTTCTACTGGGACGCGGACCGGAGGAGCTCCAGGAAGCTGTTCTTCTGTAGCCTGTGGCACCTGCCCCTGCTCCTGCTCCTCATGCTCACCTGCAAGCGGCCGCCGGGCGAGGAAGGCGACACGGCGGAGCCGCAGAGTTGAAACCACATTGGCATGTGGGGAAAAACCAAACGTACCGGGAACGCACTTTCCCCTTGGCGGTTAGGCAAGACTACTGTGGTGATTCCGGAGCAGGAGCAGAGCAATCACTGGGTTTAGTGCAAGGCTGGTTGCGAAACGATCGGTGCTCAGTGATCACGCAGCAGTGTTGTATGGTGATGTCCAAAATGCTCTCCAGGTGAGAAGTGCGTTGGCTCAGTAGATGAATACAGAGAGAATCTCCCTCTTTGAGGGTCTTGACATATCTCTTCCCCCAACCTCTCCCCTATTGCTTTTTTCCTCAGGTAGATGAACAAGTGGCCTCCGCCCCCCCCCCCCCACACACACACACACACCCACCTGCCAGCCGGGCGCACAGAGCAAGCACTCATACTCTGATCCCTGCAGTTCGTGGCCTTAGGCCCCTCGAGGACCTTGTCAGGGGACATCACGCTGTAGCACCCCCTTCCCTGCGAATGAGCCAGGCCCCAGTTCCGGCTTTCTCTACCCCATGCACACTCTCGGCCACATACCGCATATTCCCTCAGACGATCATAGAATACCAAGGATGGGCTTTGCATGCCATTCGGAGGAAGAATTCCAAACGGTTGCCTAGGGAATCTCGGGCTGGACTGCCAGCCCCTGTCCACCCCCACTACATGTCAGCACTTCAGAAACTCCAAGGAATCAAAGGAATCTTTATAGCTCGGTCTAAAATACAGGAGGTGTGTGAAGCATTGCTTCCTGGAAGGGCAGTGCCGGAAACCCCTCCGGCTCGCTTTGGGCTGTTTCCTCAGCCCGCGTGCCCATCAGCTCCCGTGCCGCACAGGTGCTCAGGCCCGTATGGGGAGGGAAATCAGGAAAAGGTGAGCTGGGCCACCAGCCCACATGGCTCATGTCCCTCTAGTGAGAAACACATTTCCATCCTGGCCTCCTCTGAATTCAGAAATTAGCCTCCACACATCCGGCAGCCTTAAGAGCCAGAGCCCAAGGTGGACTCCTGGCGGGGCAGCTTCCGGTTCGGGAGCTGTGTGTTCCCCTTAGCCAGCGTGACCTCATCACCTGCGGGTCCATCAGCCCGTCACGTTCACCCCTTGTCCACCGTCCAGTTCCATTTGCCTGAAGGTCTTGAAGCTTAACAGGGTGTTTTAATTACGCAGTCTCCAGGGCAAGGCTGCCTCCTGTAGGAATTCATTTGGAAAGTTTGAACGACATTTACACGGTTGTTGCAATATGCCTGTTCCCTCAAAAATTTTCTAAAGCGATTGCAGATAGCATCTGATCCTGTTTCTACTTATCTGAAATGTTAGCTCCCGGCTGTGTCCAGGTTACTCACCGCGGGGAACATGGCCCCAGAATGTCAGGAAGGGCATCTACAACTTGTCGCAGCCCTGAAACTTGTAACAACGCTTCAGTCTCTTTCTCTGCTGCAGTAAATGAGTACATAAGAACAGGGGTGTGTGCTGAGATTTTATTTAATCATCTTGTACTGAGTTGGGGTGGTTCCGGGTAACACTGATAGCATGTGACTCACTGTCACGGGCTAGCAGAGGACTGGGAGGCAGGCTCGTGGACAGTTCCCTGCAGGTGGTCGGGGTGAGCGCCCTGGCTGTTTGATACCTGTGCACCCAGAACAGGAAGGAACACCTGCCCCCACCCTCCCTTCGCTCACAATTGTCCAGTCCGCCCTTGTCCTTCAAAACCATCGCTGAAGAAACCTTCCCTGGGGACTCTGACCTGTCCTTCTGCTCAGATGATACCAGTGGCCTGCCGTCCACCCAACACCAGAAGACCGGGCTTCTCAGTACTCAGACCCGACGGACTCTTCAGTTTCCTCTCCTCATCACCGACTCCTCACTGCTTCTCACACCTCTGAAGGCACCCTGTGCTCTGTGTTCCGGGTGGAATGTGGAAGTCACACTCCCGTGGCCCCAGCAGCCCGGCCAGCACAGTCACCTGGATGGAAGTCCTGGGTCCTCATTTCCACACCTGCCCACAGGCTCTGGCTTTGCCCGCCTTTCCATAGGGCCTGCACGCCCATGGGGCGAAGCGCATGTCCCAGAGAATCTTCGGGAGATAATGCCTACTTCAGCTGTCTCGAGGAGTCACTAGGCACATGTATATACAGTAAGGCCTTAGGAAGACGCAAAGTCAAAAATCTGAAATCTGAGTTTCCTTACCTTGGAGTTTCCCAAACCTATTAGCCAGAACCCTTTGCCTCCCAGCCCTCACGTGGAATCAGTGGTCGGGTGTGCAGTCTGGGAAGTGTGGGCCTCAGGCCTTCAGGCCTCGCTGTGAGTGTAGGACGAGGCCTGGCGGCCCTGACTCGGTAGGGGCCACGCCTACAGAACGGGGCTTGAGATTAGAAACAGGAATTCACTCGGAATTTGGTTATTCTAAATAAACCAAGTAATTAAAAGGATGTACTGATTTCTTAATCAGCTTTTTTATAAACATGCTTTTTAACATTGTGTTTCTCTGGCACTGGAAATACAGTACCAACTCCCTACACGTGTAGTAAAACTGCTGTGTCAGTTAAGGATGAAACCAAATTTTACCGCAGGGTCTGCTTCTGATGGAAGGTGTCACTGCCTGGTCCCAGGATCATCTGTTTTCCAGATGTAAAAACGGGGTCTGCCTTGCCCAGTGGGAACACCTTCCTCATGGCATTTCAAATGTGCTTTGTGTAACCTGCTCCCTAATGCTGGGGGAGAAAAGTGAAATTATTGGCAACTGCTTTGCTCTGAGTATGTATAGCAGTGGTTCTCAACCTTCCTAACACTGTGACCCTTTAACACAGGTCCTCATGTTGTGTGTGGGCAGACCCGCCTGGACACGGATAGAGCAGCAGTGTCTCGGTTCCTAAGGCCATCGGAAATATGTGTTTTCCGATGGTCTTAGGGACCCCTGTGAAAGGGTCATTCAACCCCCAAAGGGGTCGCGATCCACAGGTTGAGAACCGCTGATGTATAGGGCTGAATTCCCCTCCGATGGCCTGTTCTTTTACTGTCCGTCCTGCCCAACATGCTCACTTCCTGTTTGCTTTGCTACACAAAAAAGCCGGAACCCGGCACTTGTGTGCCCAATGGCAGTGCCAGTAACAGAGCAAAGCTTTTCCTGCCTGCTGCCTCTGGTGTCATAGGGGACAGTCCTCTGAGTTCAGCTGGAGCGAGGGTGTCCGTCCTCAGTCCACCTCCCCTCTTGACACTGAGTGGCAGCATGTGTGTAGCTGACTGCAGGAGGGACTTGGGGGAGAGAGGTCTCACACGACCCTTCTAATGACATGTTCACGTCCAAGAGCACACCTCATCTGATGAATGAAGGGCTGAGTCGGGATGTGGCCGTGGTTCTTTTCTGGAATCAGAGGCCAGTCAGTGATCACCCACAAAGTTCCTCACCCTGTCTAGTAGGACCAATGGTGCCAGCCAACCGGCAACCAAATAAAAAGCAAGTGGAAACAGGGCCAGCCGTCGGCTTGGACATGTGGCATGCTACCTTCGGTCTTGACCCATCAGCTGTCAAACCTTCAAACTAAGCTTCTATCTACTAATCTGCCTAGACTAGAAGTTTAGGAACCATATACATGCTACTTTGTTGGAAACCCAAACAGAATTGACCTCGAGCTGGACAGTTACAGTTTCCAGCATCTTTTGGCCCGTTTCCTAAACAAGTATAATATGTGGAGATGTTCTGGGTCGAAGAACCTCTGACGCTTCCTCCCTCAGGTTCTGTCATGCACGTCACAGACCATCTGAGAGGCCAGCCACCTGACAGCGACCACCCGAGCTTGCATTCCGCTTGGCCCAGCTGGGTCCCGCTCACTCTGCAATCCATCACTGAGACCACCAGGGTTAGCCCTCTGACCCCTGCTCACCTCGTCCACTGCACCAGCCTGGTTTAACCATCCATCTCCCATATGCCTACAAGTCTCCCAATTTATCTTTCTCCCGCTTTGCCCCCCCGTGTGTTTTTCACACAGCAGCCAGTCTGATCCCACTAGGGTGCCAGGCAGACCTGACATTTCCCTGTTCACCCCCAAGGGCTTCCTGTCATACTGCAAACACCATGCAAGTCCTGACCATGCCTGCGAGGCCTCCTGCAACCTGGCCCTGCACCCCGTGCCCACCACCACATCCTGCCCACCGGCTCGCTTTTCCTCCAGCACTGGAAGACACCCCACCTGGAGTGTCACCGCAGCTCCTGCTGCCTGGGGCCCTCTCCTGACTTTACTGAAGCGACACAGACCTTCTATGTCTGTCCATACATTTATCTCATTATCTATTTATTATCCGTCTCTCCCATAGAATACGCGTCACCTTTGCATCACCTGATCCCCATCATCAAAGTAATGGTTGGCACAGAGTAGGTGCCCCCGGGGTCGCATGAGGCCCTGTGGTCAGAGGGACGGGGTCTGCTAGCCCACAATCAAGAATGAACCCATTTGGAAAGATGTTTGTTTATAATGTGGTTACATGAGAGAAAACACCTGCCTTTCAACCACTGTCATCAACCAGCAGTCACTGCCCCGGGGCAGCACCAACCCACAGGCACCTCCAGGCCACCAGCCCGAAGCTTCGACCTGTTTCTGGAATTTGCCTTCTCTGTCTTCACACCACCACCCACCCAACCCGGTCCAGCTGGTTCGCCTGCCTTGTCGCCCCAAGTGTGCAGCCTGCTTCCCTGATATGCGCCCTTCCCTGCTCCACCCACCCCGCCCTTGACCACAGCTCCCTGAGCGCCTGCAAGGCTCCAGGACAGAGGCGCTCGAGTGGCCGCGTGGGTGCGGGGCAGTGGCGGAGGAAGGGGTGTCTGTAGGGGACTGGCCAGGGGTGGGGCTGGGGAGCTGGAGGAGCTGCGGTCACAGACCAGCGCGAGGGTGGGGAGGTCGACCCCCTGGGACAAGATCCAGGCTAGATGTGGCGCTCGCCTATTTTGTGAAGAAAAAGGCCAGAATTGAGTCCAGCTGAGTTACTGTTATTTCTTCCTGATTTTACTCCGTCTTTGTTTTCCCATGTGTCCTGAATGTTCACCTTTTTCTCCATCTCCTGGCGCACTACTCAGGGGAGCCCTGGTCAGGCTGGCTTCTGGTCGGTCCCTCTCTCTCTCTCTCTCCCCCCCCCCTCCGTCTCTCCCCCCTCCCCCAACCCCCCCCTTTTCAAATACATCAGCAGGCCCTGGCCGGGTTGGCTCAGCGGTTAGAGCGTCGGCCTGAGGTCCAGAGAGACCCAAGTTCGGTTCCCGCTCAGGGCATGTACCTCGGTTGCAGTTTGTCCCCGGTCCTGGT